GCCGCAAGAAAAGTCGTCGCGCTCGACCAGAGCGACTTTTAATCCACGTGAGGCAGCATCCAAGGCTGATCCGGCACCGGTGGCTCCACCACCGATGATGAGAAGATCAAAGGGCGGTTCTGATTTTGTTTTTTGTTTGGCATCTTGAGAATCTGCGTCGTATGTCGGCTCAACCTTCGATCCATCCTTGTTGAGTCCCTTGAGCAAATTCAACATCTCTTTGCGTGATGGGGGAGTCCATAATGTAGCCGGTCGTTCTCGTGGTCCTTCGGCAAAGAGATAATTTAGAGGATCTGGTGAGGGATGGAGAAGGTAGTCGGGCGTGAGTTGGTAATTAGGTATAGAGAGTGTGGAGCGTGTATAACGGCTGTGCGAGTTCTTGTTGTTGTAGTAATAATAGGATGTTGCTGCTGTTGCGGTTAGAGCAGAAGTGACGAAAACACGTTTGCGAGAGAACGTTCTGAACATTGAGTCTTGGAAAGGTTATGGGATATGTAGTAATGGAAGAATGGAGGAATGGAGGAATGCAGAATTAACGAGGTTGACTTATTGTACAAGTAAATGTTGGGGTTTCAATGTAGTCAATGGCCGGCACGAATATAATTGATCGTCTAATGAGATAATACGTTCTTTCCGCCTTGTCTGTTCTTCTATATCTCTAGAATTTCCGCCGATTTTTTTTCGAGCGATGGGATTTTTGTGATCTCTTTAAGTTTCATCGCATTTATTTATATAACGAACATTTACTATGGACATACCCTATAAAATTTCAGTAATATGTCGATCTGCTAAACAAAGATGCTGTATGATTACAGTGATCAAATTACACACATATAAAAAAACGAATTATACAAGCCCCAATAAATACCTGTTCTGATTGGGGACTTGTAAACATTATTATTATTTATATTATTAATTTTGGGGTTTCATTGACGAGAATGAGCCTTGCTGTTGTTGTTGTTGTTGTCAACAGCGTGAGACTAATGAAAAGGTTTGAAATGCGCGTATAATGACTTTATCTATTGATCGCCGGGATGCCTGTTTTTTAATTTTTTTCTCGATATTCCGTACACCGTCTCCGCTTTGCACATACCAACCATAGTTGTACTCGTAATACTATATATGGCCAATCCGCGTAAATTAATTACTCGAATGGTTGACCAATCTGAAATTAATATTGATACGAAAAATAGATGTAGAAACATCGTCGGCTCATGACCATGGTTATCAATTATTAGAACCAAAAAAAAGGCGAGTATCGCCTATCTTGCACATCCCCAAGAATCATGACACTGAATAAAAAGGTAAGGGGGTGACATGACATAAATCTTTGACTGTAGAAATTGATAACAAGTCGAGGATCTTATCAGCCCACGCATGATTCCGCCGGAGTAACCCGACAAACCGGATGCTCAGCTGGTATTTAAAGATTTGACTTATAACTTCTGCCTTTACGGGAAGACGGCCCCATTTTTTAAACCGTATGTGAAACGCTAACCTTAGCGTCGCACGATCAATGGTGTTTGCTGATCAATCCTCATTGTAAGCATTTGGGTTCGACAAACACAAGTCTCTTTCCAGCATAACCAAACGTTCTTTATTTCCACAATCATCTGAAAACCCTGCGGATTATTATCGAACGACGGCTGGTTTGAGCATGAAAAGTGTATGTTGGTGTGACGTTGGTACGAGAGCCGGACTGAGATGTATCATTTTTGGCCAAACCAATTACATGTAACGTTTTTATTTCACTCTTAATCTCTGTCTCCTGCTTGGAAGATGAGGTTAAAAGATTTAATCACGAGAATGACCTCATTGGTTGACAAAATACGGAATAATAACGATAACAAACAAACACAAATGCAGGAACTAAACTGAATGAGCATCTGTAAAATCTGTCCATACGAGTAGATGTCTAATAGTAACCTACCAGTTATAAGTATTCATGACGACTTTTGTTCTTTATATGTATAATGAATTAGTACAAATATCGCTGTTCATGTGAAATGTCATAACGATAATCATAACGGTTATGATAACGCAATTGAAAATCACTGTCTTACCTACTCTGTTATAAACGTTACCAAATATAGCATAGCGTTGATGAGGGGAAGCCTGATAATCACTTAGAATCCATACGTTTCTAGATTTATCTGCGATCGACCTTCTTTCCTATCAGATTTTAACCTGTGGAATATCGCCACCTGTCATTTGTGTGAGAATCCAGATTATCGGCCCGGGCATGTTGCCACATGACCTTACAACATGACCTTGGTGATTTCCCATCCACTATCCGTATTTGGAAATTCATAACCCCCGCCGAAATGCACCATATATGAATTATAATAATGATTACTAATACAGACTAGTATTAATAGTAAATATTAAATATACAGCATCAATGTCTGAATGCCGGAATGTGTGTTGTGTCAAGTTGGGGGACGTCATTGTTGTTCTTATTATCATGATTATTATGGACGATTATTAATAGCGAATGTCTACAAATACAAATCACTTGATCGAATATAGTGTATTGGGCAATGATGGAACAAGTGCGGTCGTATCTTTTGACTTCTTTTTTAATAAAAGGTTTAGTTGATAACATTGTGAACAATTCAAAAGAATGTTCGATAAATGTGTTATCTTATCAATAAACGAGAGCATGTTAATTACTTGATACTGTCCCAATTTAGAACACTACAGCGTGCATATGTGATCCAATACTTTGAGAAACACATGCATGTGTTCGTACAATAGTAAACGATTAGCCATTGTAAAATTGCTAATACTCGGTCTCGAGTGGAATAATGGCCATTGCGTAGAATTACTTATCTTCTTTAACATATAAAACTTAAAGCAGACATATCGTCATTCTACTTGGTTAATTTTCTGCTTCTGCCTCTTTTTCAGCTTGAATGCAGTTCTTATCATTGATACTCTACAGTATTTTGCATGTCCTGGCTTTGGAAAACTTTACATAACTTGGTAAATATAAATCTTTGTGAAATTTTGTATACGGGTTGAATAAATACGTTACTTGAAAAACTCAAGTAACAACCATGATTGTACCGCCATTGTTATTCAAAGTTGATAATTTCATTCTTGTCCACTATTTATATATTTATTGAATTTAGAAATTTTATTGATCAGAATACAATAACAAGCGAACTTTAGTGCACGTTGATATATCTGTATGATAATTGGTCAACATATCGCGAGTTGTATTTGTTACCAACAACCCAGCTTCATGTAGATACGAAATATAGACAATACCGTTTAGGAAAAAACGCTGTTTGGCTAACTGTCGATCTGCTTGTAAAGACCTCGCAAGTGCCTTCAAACCATCTCTAAAGAGTGTATTGGGAGTACTGCAAAATAGGAGACGTCGGTGCTTCCTGAAAGTCAGAAAACAATAGCATTTTTGCCATCGAGTAAATACTTTTTTATATGTAGTATAACCAAGCATACATGGGAATGCAAAATTTTGCGCTTATGTAATCTATTTGATGTAATGACTATGTATACTATAAGCATTTCTCGAGACTTGTTCCCACGTTTCAACGAATCGCTTAAAATCTGCTTATTCCGTGAGAATGTCGCTAACGGTATCTGCATAACATCACATGATATGCGCATATGCAGTATACAGTATGCAATATACAGATCCCGGTCACTAATTGTATACTATGCTAGTAGTGTAAATTAAACATTAGTAATAATCTATGCATAAATTAATATCAAGTATTATTTAAAACGCTATTACGCTTGACTCTATTTAATGTATGGGCAGACTATGTAAATGATTTATTAATTCATTAGAACGTTATTATTATGCAAATAAGAACAATTCAATTACTTGCTCAGCGATATTCTTAAAGCAAGACACATGAATTATAGCGGAAGTAACTTAGCCGTGAATTATCTTGTTTATAATAGCATGGACTGCAGAAAGCGCAATTATAATTAGATCTTGATTTATGAGATGCTACGCTCTTTCTTGAAATTTAAGAGTGAACTGTCTACAGATAGTTTACTGTAATAATTGAATAATTAGTTGGTTTTAACGATCGAAAATAAAATTTTGCATGCGCAATAAAGTGAACATCTTACGCTTACTATGAGGGCTGGTGTGGCTGGAAGTTTACTAATTTGACCAATGACTCTTTGCTTATTGACTGCTATAACTTACGTAAATTACAGTTTTAAATTATATCATGCCGAACATAATTAGTATTTAACTATTAAGGTAAAATTTTGCCTAAATATAATATTAAACGTATTATAATCTTTAAAAAAATACAATCGACTCTTATGTTTTAAAACCAATAATACATACTAAAATACTTGAAAGTGTTTATAGATAAAAAAAGCTTTACTAAGATTTAATAATCAATAAACGAACCCTAAACCTCAAAACCAAGAAAGAAACGAATAATAGACGAATATTTAGCGTAAAGGTTTCCACTAAGGCCTCGCTAAAAAAATTTATTCGAAAAGTTAAGCATTTTTTCTAGAATGTTATTGGCAAAATGACAGGTTTGTCTTTATTTTAAACGATATATTGTTAACGATATTTATTACGTTGTGTATTTGATTTCTAAGTAAATCAGTACTATTTTATAATCGAATCTCCGTTCATCGTGCATTTGTATTTGCAGATGCTTATTTGACCACTAATATACATAATTATGGTCATGTAAACACGTCATCGATGCTACAGTATTGGTCTAAACATTGCAGTGAGACAATACTGCCAAGGAAAAAAGTAGAGATATGCTCAGGCAGCTAGAATTAATAATAGGAAGACAAAGGTCAAGCAACTTGTATGACATGACTGCCCTCTACTACTGTGCTACTGACACATGGACTTATTATGAATACTGTTTTGTGAGGGTATGTTAACATTGTCTACAACAAAGCACTGGGTGAAATGGTAATGTCCAGCCTGCCAGAAATGATGTTGATAGAGATGAAGTATATGATTTGAAAGAGCAAAAGTAATGTTTGATGTTAACCAAGTCAACCCGAGAAAGCACGGTGAGAAAGAAGAACAGAATCTAACTGTTTATGAATACACCTCTGCAGATCATCATAAATGCACCAGGTATGTATTCAAATTGACAGACTATATGGCAGTAAACCATTTCCTTTTATAATATTTCAACAAGAACAGTGATAAAGAAACGCTTGCATTGTGTCATTACCTAAAGTGTGATTTACCTTATGCAGTAACCCACCCATCAGACCCGTGCTACGATCCCTTCCCCGCAGGCGAACACCGGGATTTACCACCCAGCAGTAGAGATAAAAGGGAGCAGCTATCTGGTGAATCGATTAAAGTGCAATAGCAATTAATACGATTACTATCTACCCATTACTTTCATTATGTCTGTGGTCGATCACTGAGTCATTAGCAAACTGTCCTCGTGTACATGGTATTAGTATGGAGTGGCGTAAAGAGTTGTTTGCTGTATTTATGTTTTAGAGATGTCATGAAGCAATGCATGCGCAATGGAGAACACGTCAGAGTTATATATGTATGAGTAGATGTGTGCTTGAACTCTTGCATGGTTTGTGGTCAATAAATCGTACCGCGTCATTGTTCGAAAGCTTGCATCGCATCAAAGTGTTATATGTTATAAAACAGATAGATTAGTGAGGGACAAACTATTGTTTCTGCTATATTTACATTTTGGAGGAAAGAAGCGACGCATGCGCACTATAGAGAGGCGCGTGTTTTAAACTCGCTTCATGCATCGATAAATCGTATCGTTAGCCTGTTTGTGCGTTGTAGCAACCTCTCGTATGTGTCGCAGTATGGAATAACGTAAAAGGTTTGTTTGCTTTACACTTTACTGTTGTGTAAAGCGATACATGTTTAATGATTTGGTTATGTGTATCGTTGCTGGTTAGTAAGAGTTTGTAATTTAATATTAAATGACTTGTTCTTGCATGTCATATATGCGTAATAAGTGCGACAAAGATGTTCGTGTTTGATGATTTGTCGAGTTTTCATATGGTATGTTCTCTACGCATTATGGAGTGATATGTATGAGTAACGCGTGATGAGAATGTTTGTATTACTTGATATTATTAATTGTTTTCGACACGTAACTTTATTAACATGAATTTGTTGCCCTATGCAATAAACATTGTGATTGTCAAACATAATAATATGCGTATCAATATATTGCTTACATAAACGCAAAATTTATTAAAATCGTTTTCATATGCAACTTTAATAAAAATTTAGGTAAAACTCAACAATTTAATATAATAATTATGTGTGGCAATGTAGACGACAAAATAATAATAAAAAGCATTGGTCAACTTTCAAAGTAATTGACAAAGTTAAAAGATCAAATCTGATGGTTATAAGTTAATAATACTGCTAAAGATAGAAATAATAATAAGCTAAAAACGTATACCCGAATACATTGTCCTTAACATGGAAAGTATAATATAAGTTCCTTGTTGTATTTTATATTTAATAATTCCAATCCGTTAATAAGCTATTTATTTTAGTAAATTAAGAGCCATGGCATGTCCTTGTTCAGCTGCTTTCTGATACAGCTCAACTGCTTTTTGAATATTCTTTTCCACTCCTGTCCCATGCTCATAGCAAACACCAAGATTATATTGTGCTTTGGCATCTCCTTGTTCAGCTGCTTTCTGGTACAGCTCAACTGCTTTTTGGATATTCTTTTCCACTCCTGTCCCACTATGATAGCAGTTACCAAGATTATATTGTGCTTTGGCATATCCTTGTTCAGCTGCTTTCTGATACAGCTCAACTGCTTTTTGAACATTCTTTGCCACTCCTGTCCCCTTATCATAGCAAACACCAAGATTATATTGTGCTTTGGCATATCCATGTTCAGCAGCTTTCTGGTACAGCTCAACTGCTTTTTGAATATTCTTTTCCACTCCTCTCCCATACTTATAGCAAAAACCAAGATTACATTGTGCTTTGGCATATCCTTGTTCAGCTGCTTTCTGATACAGCTTCACTGCTTTTTGAATGTTCTTTTTCACTCCTGTCCCATGCTTATAGCAAACAGCAAGATTATTTTGTGCATCAGCAAATCCTTGCTCAGCTGCTTTCTGATACAGTGCAACTGCTTTTTGAATATTATGTTCCACTCCTGTCCCGTTCTCATAACAAATAGCAAGATTATGTTGTGCTGCAGTATTGCCTGTCTCTGCTGATTGTTGATACCATTGAACAGCTTGTCCAAGATCTGTTTTTGTTTCTATTCCATGTGCATAAAAGAATCCAATCAGCCAAAAGCACTGTCCACAATTGGTATGAGTCTTTAATGTAGCCAACAAGTTTTCTTGTTTATAGTTATTATTTTGTGTCAGCCAATTTTTGATGTAATCAGCTATTTGCATCATAGACTTCCCTTCAAGTAATAACTTGTTGTATAATGCTGACAACTCATTAGAAAGAGTGTGATCTTCAATCCTTTTGAGATGTTGGTTAGAATCATGTGTTGCCAATGTGTTCAGTTCTGTCATTATATTTTTTAACCTATGGTAACATTCTTCACTGGTCGGCCTTTTTTCTGATTCATCATCCCAGCATTCAGTATACAATGTTTTATACTTTTCTGGTGTGCCTGGAATTACATCATGTCGACCACCACTCAGTCTATAAAGCTCAATGTCTGATATGCTATCTAATTCACTGCATGGATATTTTCTGCTGGATATTTCCCACAAAATAATCCCAATGCTAAAAATATCAGACTTTTCATCTCGTTTACTGTGATTGCCATT